ATCAACATGTGAATTTGGGCCATGTTTTGCAGATGCTTCTAACTCCTCTTTTGGAACAAGTTCCATTGTCTCGCAAATTGAAATAAACTCCTACAACACACACCAATCCTAGTTAGTTTTAACAGAAACATAAATCTCAAACCAACCAATCAACACATATTCTCATACAGAGACATTGACTAGCAAAACATGCCCGATGTAGTATTGCTTTATCATCAAGTAACTAATGAAAATGCTTCACCTTTAACTTAGCCTGGGAAGCCTTAAGAATCGATATCCTGTCATCCTGCGCAACTTTTTCGATTAACTCCCCGAGGTAATACGGCACCTGTGATCAAAACCCCTCACAAGTGAGCTCATTACATTCAAACCAAAAATCCAAACTTTCCAAACTATTCCATCAGATGATTACTAAATGCCGATTTTTCACAATCATTCAAAGTTTTCGACTATAAAAACAAATACCCAAAAGAATTACCAGAAGATATTTGAGATTGGTGGTGCTGATATCCTCCTTGGTCTCATTGGCCGAGAACAAACCCAGATTGCTTATCATTTCATCGCACTTCTCCAAAGCTCTGCACCCCTTCCTAATCTCCTCCTACCAGTAATCCCCAAATCAATTAAATTAATTACAAAACAAAAACGAAAATTAAAACTTTTTGAAAAAAATGAGCGAGACTATGAACTTATGGTGTAGATAAGTGTACCTGATCGACACCGTCCCCGGAATCCGTCGCCCCCAGGTGGATCTTCCGAGCTTGCTCGAAAAGTGCCGGCAGAGGCATGTCCTCCATGTTCAACTTTCCCATGAAATTTGAATAGGGGCTTCTTCTGGTGTGGTTTTAGTTTAAGCTTCGAATTGCTAATTTCCAGAAATGTTAGGGCGGTTGAATCGCGAATTTGAAAAAATAGGGTTTCCAGATTTGGGAATCGAATTCTGGAGAAGAAGATGGAAAAATTAAGAAATTTCGGGAAATGAGATGGGAGGAATTTATAGTGAGAGATACGCGCCTCCGGCGTAAGTTAGCGTGGGGCTGAATTGGATGTGGAGCGGTGCACGGGTTGTCTATAGTGGATCTCAAGCCTAGTTCCGGGTCAAACAAAACAAATTTTAACTCATTTGATTCGACAGTTGAAAATTTAAAAATATGTAAGAGGTAAAAATAAATGTATGAATAATATCACTCTACAACTTTCTTAGAAAATTGATCACGTAGAGACTCAATATGCATGTTGTTATGAAATGAACATGACATTCATAGAACCATCAAGGTCGTTTTGTAACAAATTATTTTTAATTTTCAATTCATTCTTTTAACATAAATGTTATTCTTACTATATTTTTGTACCATATTTTCATATCACCTTAGATGACATTTGATGTGGATGGTCACATCATTTGAATTAATCAGATTTTTAAATTTAGTTCATTATTTAAGAAACTAATAATTAAGAAAAATTAGTTAATTAAATAGTGATTGTGGTACACAATGAGTCTTTCTCCTTCATTTTGTTAGGTTTTGCAAATTTTTCAAATGATGAATGTCTACATTATAAAAATATGGTATAAAAATATGATATGAATAATATTACTCTTCTTTTAACCATGAGATAGTGAAAGTTCAGCAAGAATTCGTAACAGTTTCCGACTAAACATCAATACCATCTCGTTGTAGTTCTGTGAAAATTTAGGATCTAAACGGGATCAAAAAGGTCGAAAACTGAAGTGAATATTGAAACTAGCACATCGTTACTAGCTTCACTGGAAAATCCAACCCAAGATTTCTTCTGGACTTGCCGGTGTTGCGGAAGAGCTAGATACGTCTGCAAGCTTCGACATGAACTGCTTCCGATTTCATTAGAACTCTCTTCCAGGAAGTTCAATAGCGCGAATTACTGGAGATCTTGAGGGGAACTTGGCTGGTGATGGGATGATACATTTGAGGAGGTAGTGATGAAAAAACGTAAGGACTTCGATTAAGTCACGTCAACATCTTGTGTTGACTTCTTTGTAGAGAGTGAAAGAAAAAGAAAAAAAAAAAGTGAGAAAAGAGGAGTAGAGAGAATTCTATTCCGAGAGAGAATTCTACTTCATAGACAAACAACATATATAATTTTAATGCAGAAGAAATGCTAGGAATTTAACTTTCTTGTACTATGATTTTGACTGACCAAATATCTCTGCATATCAAGCTTTTGATGGGTAAAAAAGTGATAAACACATATGATTATTACCACTAAACTATGATTAACTGGCTATTTTTCGTCTAAATTTACTAATTAACCTGACAAAACATTGATCATCCTCCAAACTCCATAGCTTGTCTCCTTCAAGTTCAATCTGGGGACCTTGAAGAGCTTCGTTTCCTTTATTAAAAAAAAAAACGAATTGGTTAAATGTCAAATTGTTGGACTAGTTTTGTTGGGTTTTCACGCTACTATAGTACTGTTTGCTACTATTTGTCGCAACAAATTATGGTCATTGTGCTCATTTATTCCGGCATCAGCCGAATCCAATGCCTGCTGATCTTTGTCCTGCGAAGCTAACACGTTACAAGAAATCGGTAGTTGTCACAACTAATTAAGTGCTGGTAAGGGATTGCTATTGTAGGAATTTTTTGCTCATATATAGGTTCTTTCATGGGAAACATGTCGAAATTGTTATTAAACATCCAAGTGCTTTGTCAAAAATCCCTTGAAAGTGCAGGTGATTCTTCAGAAAGCGTTTCTACAACTAATAAAACTATGTTGGTGGTTCAAAAGCGTTTTCAACCATTTCAAATTCAATCCCAAACAATACCTCATGAAGCTTTGAGGTGAACTTGTTAGGGGTTTCAATCCCATGGTTTTTAATGTATAAAAAGTGAAATGCTCACAGCTCTCACTCAGTTATAGAAGTTAGAGAGGCAGCCATTAATGGGTGGGATGGGGCTTGGGGATGTCTCAGTCAGGCCGAATGAATCAACATCTACATGTGTTCCCAATTTGCACTACAATTTTGAATTGGGGTGGTTGTGTTGGGGCTCTGCTGATTAAAAGCTTTGGTCATCAGCTGATCATCAACCTATCTTGTGAAGGAGAAGGTTGCTCTCTTGTCAATGACCTGCATTATTTCTCTCTCTCTCTCTCTCTCTCTCTCTCTCTCTCTCTCTGTTGAATTGTACTCTCCTCATCATTCATCAAAAACAATCTTTTTCTTGATGCTTATTATTTTTCTATTCCAAAATAGTAAACACATGTTGTTTCGTCGTTTAGGGAGCCAATAATTTGAGTTGCTAGGTATAGAAACCTCTGCAAACATGTGGTTTAATATCCTAATGAATAGGGTGTTGAGTTCTACTCATGCGTCATTTCCTAAACTATTGTAATAGTATTGAATTTTTTCCCTTACTCTTAATAAAAGTAAATAAAAAAGACGAAAAATGTAGTTTGTATTTATTTGGTGGGCACAAGTATTCGAGCGGTATTCTTATTTAATCTAAATTATAAAGTGAGTGATTCAATTTTAATGCAAATAAGGAATACATTATTTTAGTTTAGTTAACTTGGCTTCATTTACATCTGCAAAAGAAAAGATACAATTTAATAAAGTAGAAGTATTAGAAACATGCTTAGACAATTGGAAAAAGAAAAACGAAATTAAAGACCTAATGCGCAGGTAGTGGCTTGGCTTTTCTTCCCCTCTATCATAAACACACCCTTCAAATTAGCTACAACTATGTATTTAAAAATAAAGTCCAACACTTATTCCATACTAAAAAAACATCATGTTTAAGTATGACTCTTTGCTTGCTGGCACTTCCCTGCTGGGAGAAACTAGAACTACAAAGGAAAACAACTTTTGCACATTCATTTTCTCACCCACATTGCTCTTTTTAGCCTTTGTATTGAATGTATCAAAGATGAATTGAAGAATAAAAACAAGAAAACGAATGTAGAAGAAGAACATAAGACGAGAGTGCGTAAATCACTACTGCTCAATAATCATAAAACAACACGGTAAACAAGTGTTCTTAAAAAACTTGTTACTAGAACTTCAGAGCCAGCTAGCAAGTATTATTTACTTTTCTCAACCAATAATAAGGCAGAACAAGTGACCTAATAAATATGTATACAAGAACAATAAAAGTCAATTGCAATGCGTCCTTTTTTTGGTCGGAACAAGATGCAATATTTCTGTTATGTTTTTACCCCCATAATATGTCGGCAGGAATGTATAAACGAGCAGATAAATGCAGTGGTGGTCTGAAGAGGCGAAAAATACCTATGTAAGTCTTTTTGACTGTCGGAAGGGTGGAGTACTGCAACGACAAAACTACAAGATGGTCTCTTTTTTTGAATAAAAAAATGCAGTCATTGTGGCAAAAGCCTCATGCAGCTTGATTAATGAGTACGACTTATCAAGCCACATATCTCTCTTAGTTTCGTGTCACTGTCTCACTTATCACGTGACTATACTGATACAAGTGTTTTTTTTTTTTTTTTTTTGCTACTTAATAATAGTTTTCGGTATTGTTTCTTGTTTTTTTTTTTTTTTTTTTCCTTTTGTGTTTCTCTGCCCCAATATTTTAGAAAATGAAGTTTCAAGGCATGCATTTGTGCCACCTTTGTGTACCTTTTGACTGGCTAAAGCTTGATAAAGAGCTCTCTTCCAAATATTTCAAATTTCACGTCACAAAACTGACTAAAAGGAGAAGGGAGTTCCCACTCAGATTTGTTCAATTTAAAATTTTAGCATGATTTATTAAATTCGATATACGCAAAATTCGAACCTAGAATTTAAGAAAAACATCACTCAACTATGAAATGCAAAATTCGACCCTATTTTGCATCCAAATTCATACCGACTTACTTGAACCCTATTTACTTTGATGGTCGTTATCCACGTCAATCCAAAACACCAAGATTTTCCAGGGTGGGACCCTAAACCTCACTGACTACGGTGTATTTAGGTCTTTCCATACACCTCCCTCCCCCCTCCCCCCCCTCTCTCTCTCTCTCTCAATACACACACATATATATAAACTCACCCATCCCATCTCTCCACCTTAATAGAAAACGAAGCTCAGAGTTTTTCGAGAATCCTCTGTCTCTGTTTATCGAAGACAGATCGTTTTTGAGAAAAAATTCTGAGAGAGAATCGATAAGAGGTATCAATATGGTCTCGGAAATAAGCATAACACCGAAGCTGTCGCTGTTCTCGCTTCCTTCCCAGTCGCCGGAGTCGCCGGGGATGCTAACTCCGCCGCTCCAAACCTCCGCCTCGATTCCATTCCAGTGGGAGGAAGCTCCAGGAAAGCCGAGGAACTGCGGTGGCAGCGCAGAATCCAAACCCAAGTGCGCCAGATCCTTGGAGCTGCCTCCGAGGTTGCTGAGCGAGGCGGCCAAAACTACCAACATGCCCTCCCCGATCACCGTGTTGGACGGGCCTGACGTTGGGCGGACTATGTCTTTTTCGTTCAGAGTTAGGAGCCCTGATGCTTTTGGGATCAGTAAGAGGTTGAGCAAGGAGAGTTGTAGGAGGGGCGCCGGCGGTTTTGGGTCTATGAGGTGGGGAAGTTTTAGGAAGAGCAAGGAGGTCGTTGGCCAGGGCGGCTTTGACTTTTTGCCTCCGGCTAGTGGCGGCGGTGGCGGTGGTGAAACGAAGGTGAATATCACAAGAGTTGGGAGGAGAGCCAGTTTCTTGAATGATTCCAACACAAGGTCACGTATGTGGGTAAGTAACCAAGTATTCGTATGATGAATTTGAGTCAGTTTTCCTAGTGTTGTTAGAAACTAACAAACAATATATTGATATAATGTTTTTTTCCTAGTCTCGATTGCTAGTTGTATATATAACTAAAGTTTCGTGGTCTCTTGATATATATTTTTTTCTTAACAAATGATATTATCTATACTATATATATATTTTTTTTTTGGAACTTATGCATCGTTATCAACAAAAAAAAAAAAAATTAAATCAATAGGTCAAAATATAACGTATTACCATATAATAATCATCTCTTTGTGGGCAAAATGTTTGATGTCACACTCTTTGATTTTTAATTTCTTCATAAGATTAAAAATGCTTGTCAAATGTTGGAAATTTTTTTCATGTGCTAGAAATACAACCCAAAACACCAAGTATCATATTACAATTGGTTGAAATTTTTTTTCTAGTTTACAATCAATTAAATTATAACACTTAGTGTTTCACGCCGCATTTCCGATACAATAAAAAATCTCTCCAAATATTAGCATTGTGCGCATTATCTTCCCATTTTCTGCTAAATTAATACTTGTAATGATGATTATTTTAAAATTCGTTACTTTTCTTTATTCGTTTAATTGATTACAAAATAATCACATTTGGTATTATATTGTAATCAGTTACCTAAATGTGATTATTTGTCACTCATAATTGCTAAGCTCACAAAATTTAATTAGTATTTTTGCCTAAAAAAATTAATTAGTATTACTTTTTTTTTATAATTGCAGGCAAGCATTTGCGAAAGCTTTAAGCAGGTGGTCCCATGGAGACGCAGGCAAGAAAAAATGAGAAAAATGGTCTCCTAAAGAAAGCCCTTCGCAACCGTTCGATCAACCCGATCCGGCGATCCATTTCCTACTTGTTGAAAAATTTGCGTAAATACATCAGAAAATTGAAAATAGTGAAAATAGTCTAAAATTCATAAGCTTCATCAGTCTTCTATAACTCTCTATAATTGTCAGTGCACCAACAATTTGCTCACCTTTTCAAAATTTTCTGAGCATCTACTCTATTTTTTTTTTTGTTAAATTAATTACTAAACTTTTTCTCGTCATAAATTTCCTTATTTAGGAGATAAACTTCTTTTAACGCTTATGTTTGACTAATCATATGATAAGAGAGAGAAAGGGTATACTGCAACAAGAGATAAGTAATTAAAGACAGATATATTTTAGGTGAGAAATTCAGTTTAAACTTAGGAATGAACGACATATGGTTAAACAAACGCAGGAGATTAGTGTGTACGTCAAGCGTTTTTACATCTAACGGAAATTATCATTCTACACCTAAAAGGAAATGGTAAATCCATCACGTCTAACAGTACAAAGGCAGTTAGAAACTATAGTGATGTATGGTAGAATTATGTGGTTTAGCAGGTGGCATTGATTTTTGTTTTTTTGTTTTTTGATAAACAATAGGATAATCTACACTAAATTTATCTAAGTTACGTGAAGGGAATTCGTACATAGTACCTCAAGTACATAGACAAATGCTCTCATTCAACTGAGCTAGATTGACCACAACATCAAAATAGTAAAAGAATGAAACGCAATTTCTAGGTCCCAACATCAAGCAAGGAAACGAGTAATTTAAAAAAAAAAAAAAAATACCTAGACACAAAGTTCAAGATCACATCAACACAAATTAAGCTTTAGACGTTTTTGAATCGAAAAGATACCGATCTCGTCACTTGTCCCGAAGAGGTGGGATTCATCCTCACAACATGTTCTACCCATATAACATGTCCTGATTTTCTCATCTACTCTATAATTTTGTGCATATAAGCTAAAGCTAGACTAAATCATGGACCGGCAGTCAAACACAAAGTCCTCTTCTTCTTGTAGTTGGCTTTGAAGCAAGCCTGCCTCAGCCTCTTGGCTCTCTCCGGCAACTCCATGTCCGGCAGCTGCTCTAAAATCATCTTGTGCTCCTCCAGCATCCTCAGCTCATTCGTCAATCCCATCCCCTGCATCATGCATTTCAACAGTCAATCCCTACACTAATATAACTTCCCAAAACGAAACTTATCATCACAGTCCGGGTCAAGCATCATAAATCTATTTTTTGAGTCATTCTCATCGCATCACATGTTTCTTAATATGTAGGATATATCGGAGATTTTTTAAGACCTAAAAAAAGCAATTTCAAACCCCCTTTTAACATTTGGTCCATAAACTAAGTAATCACGCAATTGCATCATTGAAACAATGGAAACCTAGTCACCGTTTAAAGAAATGTATTGAGGAAAATCCTTTACAGTATATCTCTTGTCTCATGACAAGTAAAATATACTAACATGAAACTATACTACGATGACACCGAAGTCCTTCCCGTTTCGAGGGAAATCGGCAGCATTGGACAAAAAATGAACTACAACTAAGGCTTTAGTTTCAATCATTAGCATAGAATATTTTGACATATATAATACAAAATTCCTATAAATTAGAAGGAAAAGGCACTAAATATCATATGACAAGTTGACAACATGAACATGCAAACGTACCTTAACATTTTCAATGAGAGCATTCAAGCTCCTGAGCTTTCTGTGCGGCCACCTCATGATATTCAGTTCCCTGCACCTCCTCTTCAAAACCGTTAATCCCACCTTCAATTCCTTGGCCGCCTGAGTTACCGGCACGTCGAAATACTTCTGAATCTCGTCCAATTCCAATGGAGCAGCAGACATTCTCTTAGAGCAACTCCCATTTTTTGTCATGCCTTCCCCATCGTATTTCCCCCAACTTTCCATCCCCCAATCAAGCATCCTGAAAACATCACCCGAATCACCCGAAACACTGTTCGAACAGACGATGGATTCCGCCATTGTTGTCAGGGGATTTTCATCAACCACCTCGTAATCAAAAGGTGATGGAAGAGCAGCATCGTCCAAAATATAGTCCCAGATGCCTAAATCCTCAAAATCTTGAGAACCCATTTGTGGAAGTTGGTTGGGATTGTATTGCAACGGCAATGGGGGTGAAGTAAACTGATTGAAATTTTCAAGCCGTAGACTTTCTAACGCAGCACTGAAAAAGTAAATAACCCATGTTCTAATAACCATAAAACATATACATCCACACAAATTAACACACACACACACACACACACACACACACAAACATATATATATATATATATATATATGGCATTCTTCAAATAAATGGAAGACCAAAACGCAAAATAAAAAAGTATATATGTTTTGATCATCTTACCTTTGATCCTGACATGGGTCCTGGTAGTACGGTATGGAGGAGTTAAACTCATGTGGGTCGGTCTCAATTTTTGGAACCAGATATTGGGAGAAAATGGAATCCGCCATTGGAGAGTTTTGGTGAGCTTATAGAATCACTAGAGAGAGTGGAGAACTAACCAGAAGAGAAGAGAGTATAAATTTGATTGAATCGGGAAGGAGAGATGGGATGAGAATTAAAGTTCGTGCAGACGCTCTCAAAAGGGGTACTTACTAAATGGGAAATTTTATTTGCGAGCAATTACCAACCACAAAATAAGGGGCCGCACCATGCCTTAATTATGAATATAATTTTCAAGAATAATTGACTTGGTTATGGCTTAATTATGAATTTGAGTGTTGCATATTAGTAATGGGAATGATTTTGATATCGAATGTGTACGTAACGTGGATGGTTTTGATACTGAATGGTGAGTAATGTGAATGAGTTTTACACCGAACGTGGAGATGAGGTGGATACATACGTTTGGATACCTATGGCAGAGGTGATGGACCGTGTATGCATGCGGATGCATATAGGATAGCGATTTAACAATGCATGCATAAATAAATGGGGTGCGCTTTTGTTCACTATACTTAAGTGGTGTTAATGCTCATCACCCTACTTATCATTGTTGAATTAGTTTAAATTTTAAAATTTGTGTCTATCCACTTTACAAATCTCAAAATTTAAATTCATCAAATGGTGATAAATAAAACGGTGAAATCACCATCACTTAAGGATGGTAAGCAAAAAATATTCTCTCAATAAATGTATGAACATGAATGGCCCAAAGAACCAGAAAATTTGACGAGAGGATAGGATAGGAGGCTACTGAACGATTAACGATGTAGTGGACATTAATTCACATTAAAATGTGCTTAATTACGGTTCTAATTGTTACCATCTGTTAATTAATTACTTGGAGGTTTTTTACTTTTAATTTTTCATTTAACCACCCGCTCTTGTTTATTATTATTGTTTTTTTATTTATTTATTAAATTAGAGACAATTTTCTATATTATTCTAGAAAGAAAGAGGGAGTGTGTGTGATAAAGCCATGCCGATAATCCACTTTTAGGGATTGAGAAGACTCAAAGGTTCATTTCGGTCTGACTCTCAACACCATCATATGTGATTCAAGTTCGTTATAGATTAAGTATGCTATACGTAAACTTGAATTCTTTCCATATGTATGTAAGAATTTATATCTTAGTAATTGGTAATTAATTATTATCATTGTATTATAATTTAAAATTCATATTATGAACAAAAAAGAATGCATAAATTAGAAATTTTAACTAAGTCGTTCAAACAGAATGCATTGATTAATGACATGACATAGACGATGCCTATGGACACACTACGACATAGACGTTGATCTAACAAGTGTAAGTGTATGGTTTCACTTTTAATAACATCCAAACCTTTTGTTTAAAACCCTCACATCTGCCGATTGAGAGATGTAATGTCCACGTTGGGAGACAATATCGGTATGACAGTTTGGTTGCTAAAGCTCCAAATGTAGGTATTACCTCTTAAAATGGTCTTTTGATTTCCTTGCTAGCTAACGCCAGGAAGGTACCATCCAGTTACCAACACTATACCAAATGAATTATAAAACCGTGCAACCAAATTTAAGCAAAGTTTATGCTGACCGAGCTTCAAACCGAACAACGTTTCAGCGGAGAAACTTACAAATCCACGACGAACGTTCAAAATTCATGACCGATCGAGATGCTTTAACAAGTCATTTGATTTTCTGGTTTCGCAAAGAACGAAAATAGACAAAGGACTGCGTGAGTCCGGCCGATCAAGGAGAATGAAAAACAATCGGACATTGCCGTATACAAAACACTTAACAGAAATTGGTACACTTAAACAAAATGCAACAGTGCAACTCTTTAACACATTTTCCGTACCATGTTTGTAAGTCGTTCAACAATATCTCCATGCTAATGCCGGAGGCTGTCGTTGATTCATTTGTTCCACACCTAACTAGCTTATTAGCTGTTTTTACTCGGAATCGTTTAAATCAGCTGGCTTCTCAACTAGCTTGGGCCTGCGGTGGTCACTATTCCGTACATGACTAAGTGCATTAGCCGCAAAACGCAAGGCATAAATGGCCGAACCTAGAGCTGGGGAGCCACCACCAGCCTCGGCCAGTGAATCTTGCAACCTATTCTCCTCTTTCCGCAGAGACTTTTCTGAGTTTTTTCTTGCAATAGCGCCGCCAAGCTCCCTGTATATAACATGCTCCCCAAGTCCTCCACTGCCGTGAATAAAACCTAAATGTGTGCTGTGCCCGCTTGCCAGCAGACCTTCTGAACGGGGTGATAAATTCTGTGTTTAATTTGAAGTTGGTATTTTCGGGGAACTTCAAAGAGGAGAAGAAGGGTTTCAGAGAAAATGTGCAGAGCTCTCTGTGAGAGCAATCACAGATATTTTCATTAAAATATCAACACAACACTTTCCTTACAAGCTATATCAGCCCTTGATTCATAAAACAGAAATTTAAGCATACACTTGTCCTATGAGACTAAGCATCCACTTAACTGTTGGTTCCTTCCTTCTCAACCATTAGATCAAAACCAAATTTCATTTAATTCCAACACTCCCCTTTAAATGAATTTTGGTTTTGATCCCAAGCATTTCTCTGAGATAGACAAATCTTTCTTTTGGTAGAGCTGTGGTGAAGATGTCTGCTATTTGATCCTGAGATTTGCAGTAGATTAGTTCAATGGTATTCTCCTGCAATGCTTCCCTTATGAAATGAAACTTCCTTTTGATATGTTTAGTTTTCTGGTGAAAGATAGGATTCTTAGTCATGGCTATTGCTGATGTGTTGTCACACATAAGTGGTGTAGCATCCGCTTGCATTTCACCAAAATCCTTTAACATAAACCTCAACCATATAGCTTGAGAGGTAGCCATTGCAGCACTCACATACTCTGCCTCAGCCGTAAACAGTGCAACACTTTGTTGCTTGACAGAGGCCCAAGAAAATATTCCAAAACCAAATGCAAATGCATATCCTGAAGTACTTCTCATGTCATCTTCATTGCCACCCCAATCATTGTCACAGAAGCCTACTAGGATTGCTTCTTCTGCCTCTCATACTTGATTCCATAATCCAAGGTCCCTGAGATATACATGAGTACTCTCTTAGCAGTTCCCATGTGAATTCTTGTGAGATTGTGCATGAACCTTGATAAGAGACTGGTTGCATACATAATGTTAGGCCTTGTGGCAGTCAAGTAAAGTAGACTCCCAACCATTTTTCTGTATAGGCTTTCATCAGCAGGTTCAGAACCATCCATTTTACAAGGTTTCTCATTTGTGATCAATGGTGTTGCCATAGATTTGCATCCTTCCAGATTGAATCTTCCAAGCAATGATTGTGCATACTTCTGTTGATGTATGAAGATTCCAGTAACATCTTGTATTACTCCAATTCCCAATAAGTGATGCAACAAGCCAAGATCTATCATCTCATATTGTCTCATCATGTCTTTTCTGAATTCTTCAATCATTTCTTCACAATTGCCAGTAAGGACCACATCATCAACATATATAGACACAATAAGCATATCAGAATTCTCACCAGTTTTTCTATACAAGGTGGCTTCACTAGGACTTTTGTTAAATCCTCAGTTGTTGAAATAGAAGTCTATCTCACTGTACCAAGCCCTGGGGGCTTGTTTGAGTCCATACAGAGCCTTGTTTACTTATACACACTTTTTTTCTTCATTTGGAACTTCAAAACCTTGTGGTTGATCCATGTACACTTCTTTTTCTAGAGTGCCATTTAGAAAGGCTGATTTAACATCTAATTGATGAAGTTTCCATCCCTTTTGAGCAGCAAGAGCAACCAAGATTCTGATGATGTCTAACCTTGCCACTAGGGCAAAGGTTTCATTGAAATTTACCCCCGGTTGTTGTGAGTAGCCTTTGGCAACCAATCTTGTTTTGTTCTTCTTTATAGATTCATCCAAATTCAGTTTGGTCTTGTAGATCCATTTCACACCTATCACAGGTTTATCACTTGGTCTATTTACTAATTTCCAGGTAGAGTTTTTCTCAATCATAGCAATTTCTTCACTCATTGCTTTTTGCCAAGATTGATCCATTTCAGCTTCTTCAAAACTCTCTGGTTCAGCAATACAGTAGTTACAGATTGCATAGATCTCATCTAAACTCTTTATTTTTAATGGAGTTGTTCTTGGGGAGGAACCCTGCAGTTCTTATCCTTCTGCATTTGAAGTAGTGGACTGAGATCCTTGTGTTGGTGTTGAAAAATCGTTTTGTCTTCCACCTTGTATAACAGGATCATTCTCAATTTGCACATCAGCTTGTGCTTTTTCCATTGTTAATGGAAATGAGATGGTGTCAATGTTCTTGGTTTCCCAATTCCATGCTTCATTTTCTTTGAACACCACATTTCTTGAGATAATTACTTTATGTGACTCAATATTGTAGAGCCTATAGCCCTTTTCACAGCTTCCATAGCCTACAAGGACACACTTAATACTATTGATTTCAAGCTTGTGTCTTAACTGAGATGGTATCTGTGCATAGCAGATTGATCCGAACCACTTCAAGTGCTTCACACTTGGTTTTCTGCCACTAAATGCCTCAAATGGTGTTTTCTTCTCAAGTGCTTTAGTTGGACACCTGTTTAGAAGATACACAGATGTATTGACTGCCTCACCCCAAAAGGAAAGTGGCATTTTCTTATCATGCAGCATTGACTTGGTCATTTCAACCTCAGTTCTGTTCTTCCTCTCAGCTACACCATTCTGTTGTGGTGTGTAGGCCACAATCAATTGCTTCTGTAATCCTGCCCCTTCACAGAATTCTTGGAACTCAATTGAAGTGAACTCACCACCTCTGTCACTTCTTAGTCTTTTGATCTTGAGACCACTCTGAAGTTCAACCATCACTTTGAATTTCTTGAAGATTGTAAAAACTTCACTCTTGTTTCTCATAAAGTATACCCAAACCATCCTGGTGCAGTCATCAATGAATAACAGAAAGTATCTATTCCCACTGAGTGTAGGTGTTTTCATTGGACCACACACATCTGTGTGAATGAGTTCTAGAGGTTGGCTTGCTCTCCATGCATTTCCAGTTTCGAAAGAGTCCCTGTGATGCTTCCCCAGTATGCAACCTTCACAAGGTTCTTTAGTTTCTTGTAACTCAAGAAGACCAGTCACCATTTGTAATCTCTCCAATCTCTTTAAACTGTGAAAGTTGAGATGTCCAAACCTCTTGTGCCATAACCAAGAATTTTCTGCAACGCTTGCTTTTAGAGCAATTGAGTCATTGTAATCTAGCATAAGTGGAAAACTTTTGTTTTCAGTCATGCCAACTTGTGCTACCAAGTTTTGGAGACTTCTGTAGTCAAATATCTCCATCATATCGTCCCCAAAGAGTAAGAAATAGCCATGAGCAATCATTTGTCCCACACTAAGGAGATTTTCATCAAGGCCAGGTACAAATATCACATCCTTGATGAATCTTCTTCCACCCTTTGTCTCTAGAACAAGAGTTCCTTTTCCAGTGGCTTCCACAAGTTGTCCATTCCCCATTTTAACTCTGCAATTGAAGCTTCTGTCAATGTTGATTAACAGGGATTCATATGCAGTCATATGATTACTGCATCCACTGTCAACGTACCAGATTCCTCTCTTATTTTCAATTCTTGCAACATTACAAGCATAAAAGACATTTACTTCCTCTTCTTCTGCTCTATGTGCATAGTTGACAGCTTGGTTCCTTCTTGGATTACAATCTTTTGCTAGATGACCAAACTTATCACACTTGGTGCATTTGGGTTTTCCCTTGAACCAGCAAACACCATAGTGTAATTTGTCACAGATTTTACACTTGGTTTAAGTAGAATCACTGCTAGTTTCTGATTTTGATTGTGGAGTATGCTTGTTGTCCCATTTCTTCCCTTTTCCTTTCCAGAATTTCTTTTGATTTGAGTTGTTCCGCTGAGCCTTGTAACTGCTATCTCTCTCAGTCACACTTAGGCTAGAAAAAGCCTTTTCAGCTAAGCTTTCAGAGTGCACGTTTAACCTCTGCTCATATCCTTTCAATGTGCCAATCACATCCTGAACCTCAATAGAGTCAAGGTCCTTAGTTTCTTCTATAATAGATGCGATGGAATCATAGGATTTAGGCAGGCTAATAAGTATTTTCTGCACTAATCTTTGGTTTGATAGTTCTTCACCAAGAGTTTTCATTTGATTCACAATGTCAATCATCCTTGTTAAATAAGCAGATAGAGCTTCACCATCATTCATCCTAGTGTACTCAAAATCTCTCCTTAAACATTGTAGTTTGACAGATCTAACCTTTTTGTCACCACGAAATTCTTGTTGAAGAACATCCCACGCAGTCTTGGAGGTTTCAAAGTTTGAGATTCGAGGAAAGATCTCGTCAGACACTGCCCCTTGAATGATACCAAGAGCTTTTGCATCTCTGGTTTCATTAATCTTCACTGAGCTCTTCACCGACTTTTGATCTTCATCACTAGACTCATCTCCAGATTCTGCGCTTTCAATACCCTTGTCCACCAAATTCCAGAGATCATATGATTTGAATATGGTCTTCATCTTGATGGACCAAAAATCGTAGTTGGACCCGTTAAAGATAGGAGCCCTCAGATCTCCTCTACTGCTCGAAGTAGCCATATGAGACCTTGTAAGAACAGATGAGGTTTTCAAAAAATTTGGGATTGAGTTTCCCTCCTTTTTTTTTTCTTTTCAGAAGTACGAAGCACACAAAATGCCCAGTTCTGAGATTGATCAGAACCTAAGCTCTGAGGCCATGATAAATTCTGTGTTTAATTTGAAGTTGGTATTTTCGGGGAACTTCAAAGAGGAGAAGAAGGGTTTCAGAGAAAATGTGCAGAGCTCTCTGTGAGAGCAATCACAGATATTTTCATTAAAATATCAACACAACACTTTCCTTGCAAGCTATATCAGCCCTTGATTCATAAAACAGAAATCTAAGCATACACTTGTCCTATGAGACTAAGCATCCACTTAACTGTTGGTTCCTTACTTCTCAACCATTAGATCAAAACCAAATTTCATTTAATTCCAACACGGGGTGGCTACAAACTTCAGGTCCTCTGCTTTTAAAGTAAACGCTTCCACTTCACAACAAGCACGGGAAGTTCGTGTGGAGTTGGGAAGATTAAACAAGGATGCGCTGGGATCAACAAACCATATGAGAAGTTCTTCGCAACAGAAGTCACCAACCTTGAGATCTGCAGAACTGGAGTGCCTTCCATCACTCACGGTCGTATTCAATACCGTACCTCGCATTATCAATACCAACGATTCCACTGGATCTCCTTCCCGAACAATGTAGCTTCCCTCGGAATAGAGAATTGGCTTCAGACTGTCATACAGTATATTCAACAGTCGTTCCTCCATATTTTCAAAGAATGGCACCTTCAAAATTAAATGAAATATAATCAAGAAACAGTCACAAAATCTAACCCAACACTTACACTAAACAGACTCAGTCTCGATGATGCTCACGTCCCTATGTTTTGTTCGGAATGTAAGTTAGGAAATTCCGAATGAAAACTGATCATATTGGGACAATTGAAAAGAACTCACTTTAAGGATTGCACCCATGCAAATATATCGCTTTGTATCACTCCTGAGATCCCTGGGAAGAGTCAGAAAAAAATTCTCCATGCTAACTCCCGTGCTTTCTTGCCATCGGTGACTTTGGATTGCACCCATGCAAACATATCGCTTCGTATCACTCCGGCATGATTTTTACATGCTTCACTCCAGCAAGTTACGTTCCTTTCTATAGAAAACAAATACCAAAAGGCTCCGACAAGCTACAGGGCCAACAAAGGATCGTCAGAATCTGCACAAATTTCCTAATTATACATTGGTAAAGCAACAATTCTGCAAGAAAACATGGGAAATGGTTACGGGACTTACATGACTAGCGAGCATGAATAGAAAGAGATTAACCCATGCAGTTCCAGCGAGGATGCCCGAATTGCTTGTAGTTTTTTTCAATAAGGAACATATGCGAAGGAACCTCAGCACATATTGAAAGACAACTGTGAAGTTCAATGATTTTGTTGCACCCAAAACCCTTGAAGCATTTAGTTTTGGAACAATAGCAAAAAAGAGGACCTGAACACATTTATGCAAAGCTAATGAGTCCACAAATGTGATGAGTCAATATTATATTATATATTTCACCCTATTTTTAGTATAATTTGGTAATTATTTTGGTAGAATTTTGATACTTTGCTTTATATTCTCAATATAGGACATTCAACTTTCTTTGGAGTAAAACGTGACCAAACGGACGAATTTTGGAGTGATTCAAATTGGAGGGCGTTTGGGGTGTTCCTTAGCTTGTTCGTGTCAAAATCTCAGCAATTTCTACCAAGCTGCTATTTTCTGGAGATTAAATGAAGGAGCAGTGTGCGTTGTTGGAAAGTGACGTTTCTGGGCTTAAATTACATTTTTAGAGCCCAAGATGACTTCAGATGGGTTCGTGGCCTCTTGGAGAAGTGTTCGGAATAGTTCAAACTTTAAATCCAGCTATTTAGGGCCAGTTTTGGAGCTGATTTGGGTCCAAAACGTGGCTGTGCAGATTTCTAGGCGAATTTACCAAGTTAATTTATGATTATGTTTCCTATTTTATTTCAAGTTTTTAGGTTTCCTAATTTTATTCGAAGACCTTTTACTAGGAGGATTTTAATCAAAGTTGTATAAATAAGCCTTTTGTCAAACCTAGGATTTTTTCGGGGTAGAACGCATGCAACTTCTGGAGAGAAGATTTTGGGCAAGGTTTAGAGATTTTCAGATTTTATTCTACAAAGTGTTTTCATTCTTTTTCTTGTTTAATACAATTATGTTGATTTTAATTATGAATATGCGTAACTAATCATTTTTGTTAAAATGCAGTCATATAATATAACTAAAGGTGAAGGGGGATGAAATTCCTGACCTGTGGCAGTGAAAGAATCATAAATACGTCTGCCGGGAAGTAGAAGAACAAATATCTCCATGCAATTGCCCGCATCTCTTTAAACAACTCAACTCTTCCAGAAGCTTGAGAAGAAAGACTGACAATAGCAGCACGGAATTGAAAAACCATATGGATTATATAAAACAGATCGACGAGGAACCGCAAAACAACGACCGGAGTCCCCAGTGTTGTGTCCAATCTAAGGCACTTCTTCTGAACATTAAAAACAAGGATATAAAAGAACAACGGATCCAGTGAGAGCGCAATTACACAAAAAGTTAGATATACATCATTCAACCTTCGGATCTCCTGCGGGCCAAGTCGACTCCTCTTGGAACCCAAAACTCCATGGTAAGAGGTCATTGTTTCTCCAACTCTCTTAATATAATCCCTACAGGTGTCTAACATATTCATATCTAACGATTTTCCATAAAATGGTGATGAAAGTGATAACTTGTACAAATCTTTACATTTTCCAATTTGATCCGATCCATTCGTTCGTAGAGCTATTTACTCGTTCTCCAACATTTCTGGAACACTTCTAACAGAGGGACAGATAGTCAATTTTGAAAGAACTTATTGTCAACCTCTTTCAGATATGAATCTTTCTGATTCAGAATATCAATATCCTCTTCAAACCCATGTCCCAAAACTCTAGCTATATTATGAAACTATTCTTTTTTAGCTTTTTTCGGACAAACGATAGAATAGTTATACTAAATTCATCTGACCGCCATTACCAGAAATCTTAATCTAGTAGTTATCTGCAGGGAGAAAGAAGACAGTTTGTGGATAAAACGCTCAAACCATAGAGAGAGAGGGAGAGAAGACGAAGACTTCAAGTCAACTGCACCGGCCTTGCAAGTCGAGAAATGTAATTAGTGCAGGATCCTTCAATACTGAGCTCCTGTGGACCAAGGCTTCTCCTCTTGGTTCTTTGTAAACCCCTCTCCTCGATTACCAATCGATAATCGACCTCGACTGAATGCACGGGTGGAAGGACGAAGGCGACTTGAGAATGTAAGAATTAACACACAAACCAAGATTAAAACTTGAACAACAAGCTAATAAGAACTAACCAGAATTTGTGTGTGAGTGAACCAAGAAGAAAACATACCTGCAGAAGTTCCCGAACTAGAAGCCATAGAGCTAAGTTTTCAGTGAACCTTCTTCTCTCTTGCAGAAAATCAAGAACTCAACTTACAATATGAGCGTGTATCCTGTGAGAGAAGAGGCCACTATATATATATAATCTTTTCCATACCAGAAAAGAATTCCCTATTAAAATCCTTATAGAAAACAAATACTTGCTTTACTTGTTCCATAAGAACTGATCCTAATGCTATGCAAAACCTTTCTTCATTGAGGACTAGCAATCCTCTTATCAATAATACTTTTCTACCAAACTAAATACCCATAGCCGGTCCCTAAAACTTCTCCATCTCATGCTCATTCTAACAAAGAATTCAGATAGGGATGTAAAAGCCGGTCCCTAAAACTTCTCTATCTCATACTCATTCTAACAAAGAATTCAGAAAGGGATGTAAAAGCCGGTCCCTAAAACTTCTCTATCTCATACTCATTCTAACAAAGAATTCAGAAAGGGATGTAAAAGGTGAAAGGGAAGATTCTTATTTACAGAACCATGACATCGAGAGGCTCAGATGCGGCGTCATCCAATATCTGCTAGATGCTAAGCAAGTCCGATATCGACTGACCAAGGGTAAAAAAAATTCAGTAAAACGAAGGAAAAATGTAATCCTTTCTCTCATATTCCGTAAAATGAGAAGAAGAAAAAAAAAAAAAAAAAAGAATGGGACATTGCCATATGCAACACACATTTTACAGAAGTTGGTACACTCAACAAAATGTGGCTCCTGACCATTATGCTGTTACACTTTTCTTCCTTTTTATCAATTAAAACAGTTTCTCGATTACATTTTACAAGAAGACGACGACCAATCATATAACTTAATCGAAACCTCTACATACCTATTATTGCTCTTCAGCAGTAAAATCAGGCTCCGCCGGCTTCTGAAGTAGCATGGCCGGTAGTCTCTCTGGCATCCTTGCCTTCCGCGTACCACTACGCCGTATATTACGCAGTACATTAGCAGCAAAACGTGAGGCATAAATGGTGGCCCCTAGACTTGGGGAGCTGACCACAGCCTTGGCCAGTGCATCTTGCAGCCTATTCTCCTCTTCCTGCAGAGACTCTTCTAGCTTCTTCTTCATATGGCGGTGCCACGCTGCTTGTATAAAAGTAGCTGCCCAAGTCCTCCACTGCTGTGAGTAGAACCTGAATGTGTGCCGGAGCTGCTTGCTGTGAAGTCGCCTGAACTGGGAGGCTACGAACTTCAAGTCATCTGCTTTTAAAGCAAAGGCTTCAACGTCACTAAGGGATTGGACAGTTCTGGTCGAGATTGGAAGATTAACTGATGTGTGGGGATCAAGAGCCACCGGCCTCGAGATATGCAGAGTTGAAAAAACATGTTCTTCCACCAATTATGGTTTTAGTCAATAGTCTGCCCCGCATAATGAAGAGCATTTCATCCACTGGGTCTCCCTCCCGAACAATATAAGTTGCCACTGTATATAGTATCGGCTTGAGACGGTCACACATTGCATAGAATAGTCGTTCATCCATTTTCTCAAACATAGGCACCTTTAATGCAGTCAAGGAAAAATTAAGAATCCATATCTAGTGGTTTGAAAGACATACTAAGATGACAATAACATAATGGTGAAGAAACTCACTCTCCTAAGCAGAGGCAAACAGACTTGGCGCTTCGTATCACTCCTGAGATCCCTGGGAAGACTCAGAAAAAAATTCTCCATGCTAACTCCTGTGTTTTCTTGCCATTGGTCTGTTTGGTATTCCCGAATACGCTTCTTGAGATGAGGGGGAAGTGTATAAAAGGCCATCCAATATTCTCTCTCTTGCTCCTTGGATCTCATATCCGCCAATCTTGCAGTTTTCAACTGCAAATATGTCTGTGATCCACAACAAGATACACTTATTAATCGATCATATCCTAAACAACGTTAAACAAATGTGTCATACAAGTTTAGTTTGCACGTATATCCAAACAATATATGCATGACGAATTGGTTGTTAGAGATTAGACTAAAGAATTGGAGGGACATTATGTATGCCACATAACTGAGAGCGATTACATGGACTAAATACCACCTACCTGCATATTTCCAATTAGAGATGACAACAGTACTAACCCAGAAAGTGAAACGAAAACTGCGTAGTAGACTTCCCAAACATATGTACTCGTTTTGAGGCCTTGACCAAGGGAGCTGCAGAATATAAGGCTCAAACATATGAGAAGCTAGTCTAAATAGTGTAGACAAAAATCCTTCACGAACAAATGCGATAGGATGAAATGTTGAACCTCAAATTTTGCAGTCCCCACCAAAAGCAGTAAGAAATCTTTTCTATGAAATCTGCTGAGTCGTTCACAACACCGGATTCAAGGGCTTCAGCGTATATTCCAAAATTAAAAGGTGTGGAGCTTGGCATCTTTGTAGAGCAAAAGTCGTTTGGAAATGATCTAGCTCCGAAGGTGTCATCACAAAATAAAGAACAATGTACACCGGTATGATTTTGACATGCTTCACTCCAGCAACTTACGTTCCTTTCTATAGAAAACAGGTACCAAAAGGCTCCAACAACCTACAGGGCCAACAAACCACACTGGATTGTCAGAATCTGCACAAATTTCCTAATAATACATTGGTAAAGCATCAATTCTGCAAGAAAACATGGGAAATGGTTACGGGACTTACATGACTAGCAAGCATGTATAGAAAGAGATTAACCCATGCAGTTCCAGCGAGGATGCCCGAATTACTGGTAACTTTTTTCAATAAGGAACAGATGCGAAGGAGCCTCAGCACATATTGAAAGACAACTATGAAGTTCAATGATTTTGTTGCACCCAAAACCCTTGAAGCATTTAGTTTTGGAACAATAGCAAAAATGAGGACCTGAACACGTTGATGCAAAGCTTATGAGTCCACAAATGCAGTCATATAATATACCTAAAGGTGAAGGGAGATGAAATTCCTGACCTGTGGCAGTGGAAGAATCACAAATACGTCTGCCGGGAAGTAGAAGAACAAATATCTCCATGCAATTGCCCGCATCTCTTTAAACAACTCAACTCTTCCAGAAGCTTGAGAAGAAAGACTAACAATAGCAGCACGGAATTGAAAAACCATATGGATTATATATAAGAAATCGACAAGGAACCGCAAAACAACGACTGGAGTCCCCAGTGTTGTGTCCAATCTAAGGCACTTCTTCTGAACATTAAAAACAAGGATATAACAGAATAACGGATCCAGTGAGAGCGCAATTACACAAAAAATTAGATACACATCATTCAACCTTCGGATCTCCTGCGGGCCAAGTCGACTCCCCTTGGAACCCAAAACTTCATGGTAAGAGGTCATTGTTTCTCCAACTCTCCTAATATAATCCATCAATATCCTCTTCAAACCCATGTCCCAAAACTCTAGCTATGTTATGGAACTATTCTTTTTTAGCTTTTTTCGGACAAACGATAGAATAATTATACTAAATTATCTGCAGGAAGAAAGACGACAGTTTGTGGATAAAAAGCTCAAACCATAGAGAGAGAGAGAGAGAGAGAGAAGACGAAGACTTCAAGTCAACTGCACCGGCCTTTCAAGTCAAGAAATGTAAATAGTGCAGAAATGAGATTTAAAAGGAAAGGAGACACATTTTCATTCATCCATGCCCTAATAGCGTACATTACATTATTTATATTCAACTGAAAAGGAAACCCTAGCTCCAAACAGGTTGGGCCTTGAGCAAAACATAGTTGCGGGTTAACATGTACGGGCTGAGAGAAAGAGCTAATAGGCCCCTAAACAATGTGGTCCTAACAACTTCTCTCCCCCCCCCCCCCGGGCGCCCCCGCCCCCGCCCCCGGGGCGGTTAGAGAAAAGGCATGTCCTCAGGCCTGAAAATCAGGATAACGAGCAATGATGTCGTCGGCGACTTCCCAAGTAGCATCAGTGATGGGCAGTCCTGTCCATTTGATGAGCCATTTGGTGATTGCAGCATTCTTCTTCTTGAACATGCCTCCGTCAAGTACTTTTTCTGGTTGCCAATGTAGAAGCCCCGAGGGGTCAAGTGGTGGTAAAGTCGCGTTTGGGGAAATATGATCACCAATTTTCTTCTTAAGCAAGGAGACGTGAAAAACCAGATGTATCTTAGAAGTATGTGGGAGATCGAGTTTGTAAGCCACAGAACCAATACGTTCCCGTACTTGAAATGGTCCATAAAACTTGGGGGCAAGTTTGTTGGATTTGCACGGAGCAACATATTATCGACGATAGGGTTGCAACTTTAGGTAGACCCAATCACCCACCATGAATTCACGCTCTGTTCAGCCCTTGTCATAAATTTGTTTCATGCGATTTTGACCGAGTTGCAAGTTAGTTCATAAAAGGCGAAGCAACCTGTCTCTGTCTTGTAAAGCCACATCAACTGAGTGCATTGCAGTGGTTCCAGGTAGATAGGTGTGAATGGCCGGAGGAGGAACCCCGTATAGAGCTTGAAATGGTGACATCTTGATGGCAGATTGTAAAGTTGTGTTATACCACCACTCAGCCCATGGAAGAAGAAAGGACCACTTGGTTAGTGTATCGGCCGAAAAACAACGGACCCCTTCATCCACGGTGCCTTTTTGTTGAATGTGAGTGAGCTGTGATTCAATATTAGCTCGATCACCACCCCCAAAACGTTGAAGCAATAGGTCGACAAAGAGACTCCAGTTCTCTCATCCGTACCGTTGTTCGAACCTTCGCATCCAAATCGAGGCGTCCGCCCCAAAATTACAAACAACCACCAAAACCCACTGATTCGGTGGAACCTCATAATAGTCAGGGTATCTTTTAGCCATGGCCAACCACCCATTTGGGTCATCCCCATTAAAACGTGGTAACTCCATTTTGATTGGTTTAAAATGAGATGGTTGGTGATGTGAGGTGGGTATGATGTGTGGTTGAGTGTGGGAGTTAAATGGCGTTGGTGAAGGTAAAACCTGGAATGAGTGGGGTTGAGATGGGATTGGGGAAAGAGGGTTTTGGGAAAAAAAGAGAGGATGGTGGGGAGGGTTACCGGGAAAAAAACCGGTTGACTGGTTATAGTTGAGGGGGACGGAGTGGGGCAGGTGGATAATAAGTATGGGGGCGGCGGAGCATTGCTGGGGAAGGGGGTTAGAAAGACCCAAGCCTGTGTGTGTAATTGACGGCGGTGCAAAGAGGGAACGGATAGAGGTGGTGGGTATGGGTGTGGTTGGTCTAGTAGTCAGTGGAGATGGGGTAGGAGTTGGGGTTGTGGTGGGTGCGGCAGTGGTGGTGTGGAGGGAAGGAAGCCCAGATTTGAGAAGACGAAATTCGTCAAGCATGAGGGTTTGAAACGCTGCAAACTGGGAGGTTACTGTGTTTTGGAAGGTTGCATTAGAGGTGGTCATGAGGTTGAATGATTTTTGGAGGTTCTGGTGTTGTGTTTCAAGGGCTTCAATGGAATCCGAGAGACCCTCCACCTGGGTGCGAAGGAGTTCCTGGCGCATATCCATAGCGGCAACGACCGCATTTGGATCGAAAGAGGTAGCGACTTGGGTGTTTTTGCCCATCAAATCGACGGGCTCTGATACCAATTAGTACGCCCAATTAGTCTCAGATAGCAGAAAGCTAGAAATTGAAGGAACAGTGCAGGGATAGTAAAAGAGAAATGAGATTTAAAAGGAAAGGAGACACATTTTCATTCATCCATGCCCTAACAGCGTACATTACATTATTTATATTCAACTGAAAGGGAAACCCTAGCTCCAAACAGGCTGGGCCTTGAGCAAAACATAGTTGTGGGTTAACGGGTATGGGCTGAGAGAAAGAGCTAATAGGCCCTAAAAAAATGTGGTCCTAACAATTGAGCTCCTATGGAAGAACCAATATCAACTTGGTTATGCTTAAAACCGTGGGTGTGTATATCCTACGTAGGTGACTTTTTGGCAAGGTTCAGAATTTTACTCTTTGGAATATAGACAGTTTTATTTACAAAGTAATTTGGTGCTGCTGAAATTGTTTTTACAGGAAAACAGAAATTTTTTTCTACTTCCCGAACTCGAAAATCAATGAAATTTTGACACAACTTAGTTTTATGTGTCTACTTTGGATCTGGAAATTTTCACTCGTTTTGGTTGAATGAGTATTTTTGGTGAATTTTACGGTTCAGGTCACTTTTGTAGTTTGTATTACCATGAGATCTTCAACTCTATTTCTTTAAATGGATTTTTCTAGTTTGATTAAATGGAATTGTGAAATATAAATTTTCGTTGACATCATCTTAAGATGATATTGTTTTACATCCTTGATTAACCACTTTGTTTTTATTTTTTTTATTTATTTTTTTTAAATCTCACATCTCTAGTTTTGGGGTGTGACAATTTTGGTATCAAGACTTATCCTCTTGGCTCTTTGTAAACCCCTCCTCGATTACCAATCGATAATCGGAGGCGACCGGATATGCAGGTGGAAGGACGAAGGCGACTTAAGAATTCAGACAAGGATGTAAAAGGTGAAAGGGAAGGCTCGTATTTACAGAACAACGAAATCGAGAGGCTCAGATGCGGCGTCATCCAATTGCTCCTAGATGCTAAGCAGGTATCAATATTGACGCACCAAAGGTAAAAAAATTTCAGTAAAACGAAAGAAAAATGTGTCAAGTTCTCCCAATAAAAAAAGATAAAAAGCAGCCATACTCCCGGGAAGCACGCGGGCACAAATTCACTTTTCGGTCATCGGCGAACGTACGCACCGTTGCGAATAGTAACCGCAGAGAGAGAGAGAGAGAGAGAGCACAAAATATTTTAGTTCACGGGAGTGGGACCCAGGCCACAAGACTTTGTTCGTCTGCCTAATCATACTAACAAAATTATTCTTTTTAAAATTTGTAAGAATGTGAATTACGAGACAATGATTCAAGATCGAACGAATAGAGGAAGATCTAGGAAGATTTTGAAAGAAATTCTAAAAAAAGACTTCTGAATCCCACCTTCAATTCCTGGCCGCCTGAGTTATCGGCACGTCGAAATACTTCTGAATCTCGTCCAATTCCAATGGAGCAGCAGACATTCTCTTAGAGCAACTCCCATTTTTTTTCATGCCTTCCCCATCGTATTTCCCCCAACTTTCCATCCCCAATCAAACATCCTGAAAACATCACCCGAATCACCCGAAACACTGTTCGAACAGACGATGGATTCCTCCATTGTTGTCAGGGGATTTTCATCAACCACCTCGTAATCAAAAGGTGATGGAAGAGCAGCATCGTCCAAAATATAGTCCCAGATGCCTAAATCCTCAAAATCTTGAGAACCCATTTGTGGAAGTTGGTTGGGATTGTATTGCAACGGCAATGGGGGTGAAGTAAACTGATTGAAATTTTCAAGCCGTAGACTTTCTAACGCAGCACTGAAAAAGTAAATAACCCATGTTCTAATAACCATAAAACATATACATACACACAAATTAACACACACACACACATATATATATGGCATTCTTCAAATAAATGGAACACCAAAAGGCAAAATAAAAAAGTATATATGTTTTGATCATCTTACCTTTGATCCTGACATGGGTCCTGGTAGTACGGTATGGAGGAGTTAAACTCATGTGGGTCGGTCTCAATTTTTAGAACCAGATATTGGGAGAAAATGGAATCCGCCATTGGAGAGTTTTGGAGAGCTTATAGAATCACTAGAGAGAGTGGAGAACTAACCAGAAGAGAGAAGAGAGTATAAATTTGATTGAATCGGGAAGGAGAGATGGGATGAGAATTAAAGTTCGTGCAGACGCTCTCAAAAGGGGTACTTACTAAGTGGGAAATTTTATTTGTGAGCAATTACCAATCACAAAAGGGGCCGCACCATGCCTTAATTATGAATATAATGTTCAAGAATAATTGACTTGGTTATGGCTTAATTATGAATTTGAGTGTTGCATATTAGTAATGGGAATGATTTTGATATCGAATGTGTACGTAACGTGGATGGTTTTGATACTGAATGGTGAGTAATGTGAATGAGTTTTACACCGAACGTGGAGATGAGGTGGATACATACGTTTGGATACCTATGGCAGAGGTGATGGACCGTGTATGCATGCGGAGGCATATAGGATAGCGATTTAACAATGCATGCATAAATAAATGGGGTGCGATTTTGTTCACTATACTCAAGTGGTGTTAATGCTCATCACCTTACTTATCATCGTTGAATTAGTTTAAATTTTAAGATTTGTGTCTATCCACTTTACAGATCTCAAAATTTAAATTCATCAAATGGTGATAAATAAAACGGTGAAATCACCATCACTTAAGGATGGTAAGCAAAAAATATTCTCTCAATAAATGTACGAACATGAATGGCCCAAAGAACCAGAAAATTTGACGAGAGGATAGGATAGGAGGCTACTGAACGATTAACGATGTAGTGGACATTAATTCACATTAAAATGTGCTTAATTACGGTTCTAATTGTTACCATCTGTTATTTAATTAATTGGAGGTTTTTAACTTTTAATTTTTCATTTAACCACCCGCTCTTGTTTATAATTATTGTTTTTTTTTTTAAAAAAAAAATTAGAGACAATTTTCCATATTATTCTAGAAAGAAAGAGGAAGTGGGTGTGAATAAAGCCACACTGATAATCCATTTTTGGGGATTGAGAGGACTCAAAGATTCATTTCGGTCTAACTCTTAACACCATCATATGTGATTCAAGTTCGTTATAGATTAAGGATGCTATACGTAAACTTGAATTCTTTTCATATGTATGTAAGAATTTATATCTTAGTAATTGGTAATTAATTATTATCATTGTAATATAATTTTAAATTCATATTATGAACAAAAAAGAATGCATAAATTAGAAATTTTAACTAAGTCGTTCAAACAGAATGCATTGATTAATGACATGACATAGACGATGCCTATGGACACACTACGACATGGACGTCGATCTAACAAGTGTAAGTGTATGGTTTCACTTTTAATAACGTCCAAACCTTTTGTTTAAAACCCCCACATCTGCCGATTGAGAGATGTAATGTCCACGTTGGGAGACAATATCAGTATGACAATTTGGTTGCTAAAGCTCCAAATGTAGGTATTACCTCTTAAAATGGTCTTTTGATTTCCTTGCTAGCTAACGCCAGGAAGGTACCATCCAGTTACCAACAGTATACCAAATGAATTATAAAACCATGCAAGCAAATTTAAGCAAAGTCTATGCTGACCGAGCTTCAAACCGAACAACGTTTCAGCGAAGAAACTTACAAATCCACGACGAACGTTCAGAATTCATGACCGATCGAGATGCTTTAACAAGTCATTTACTTTTCTGGTTTCGCAAAGAACGGAATTAGACAAACGACTGTTGAGTCCGGCCGGCCAAGGAGATTGAATAACAATCGGACATTGCCGTATACAAAACACTTCACAGAAGTTGGTGCACTCCAACAAAATGCATAAGTGCTACTCTTAACACATTTTCCGTACCATGTTTGTAAGTCGTTCAACAATATCTCCATGCTAATGCCGGAGGCTGTCGTTGATTCATTTGTTCCACACATAACTAGCTTATTGGCTGTTTTTACTCGGAATCGTTTAAATCAGCTGGCTTCTCAACTAGCGTGGGCCTGCGGTGGTCACTATTACGTCCATGAAAGTGCATTTGCCGCAAAACGCAAAGGCATAAATGGCGGAACCTAGAGCTGGGGAGCCACCACCAGCCTCGGCCAGTGAATCTTGCAACCTATTCTCCTCTTTCCGCAGAGAATTTTCTGAGTTTTTTCTTGCAATAGTGCCGCCAAGCTCCCTGTATATAACATGCTCCCCAAGTCCGCCACTGCCGTGAATAAAACCTAAATGTGTGCTGTGCCCGCTTGCCAGCAGACCTTCTGAACTGGCTGGCTACAAACTTCAGGTCCTCTGCTTTTAAAGTAAACGCTTCAACTTCACAACTAGCACGGGCAGTTCGTGTGGAGTTGGGAAGATTAAACAATGATGCGCTGGGATCAAAAAACCATGTGAGAAGTTCTTCTCAACAGAAGTCACCAACCTTGAGATCTGCAGAACTGGAGTGTCTTCCATCACTCACGGTGGAACTCAATACCGTACCTCGCATTATCAACACCAACGATTCCACTGGATCTCCTTCCCGAACAATGTAGCTTCCCTCCGAATAGAGAATTGGCTTCAGACTGTCATACAGTATATTCAACAGTCGTTTCTCCATATTTTCAAAGAATGGCACCTTCAAAGTTAAATGAAATATAATCAAGAAACAGTCACAAAATCTAACCCAACACTTACACTAAACAGACTCAGTCTCGATGACGCTCACGTCCCTTTGTTTTGTTCGGAATGTAAGTTAGGAAATTCTGGATGAAAACTGATCATATTTGGACAATTGAAAAGAACTCACTTTAAGGATTGCACCCATGCAAACATATCGCTTCGTATCACTCCTGAGATCCCTGGGAAGACTCAGAAAAAAATTCTCCATGCTAACTCCTGTGTTTTCTTGCCATCGGTCACTTTGAATTGCACCCATGCAAACATATCGCTTCGTATCACACTGGCATGATTTTTACATGCTTCGCTCCAGCAAGTTACGTTCCTTTCTATAGAAAACAAATATCAAAAGGCTCCGACAACCTACAGGGCCAACAAAGGATCGTCAGAATCTGCACAAATTTCCTAATTATACATTGGTAAAGCATCAATTCTGTAAGAAAACATGGGAAATGGTTACGGGACTTACATGACTAGTGAGCATGTATAGAAAGAGATTAACCCATGCAGTTCCAGCGAGGATGCCCGAATTACTTGTAGCTTTTTTTCAATAAGGAACATATGCGAAGGAACCTCAGCACATATTGAAAGACAACTATGAAGTTCAATGTTTTTGTTGCACCCAAAACCCTTGAAGAATTTAGTTTTGGAACAATAGCAAAAAAGAGGATCTGAACACATTGATGCAAAGCTAAGGAGTCCACAAATGCAGTCATATAATATAACTATAGGTGAAGGGAGATGAAATTCCTGACCTGTGGGAGTGGAAGAATCATAAATACGTCTGCCGGGAAGTAGAAGAACAAATATCTCCATGCAATTGCCCGCATCTCTTTAAACAACTCAACTCTTCCAGAAGCTTGAGAAGAAAGACTGACAATAGCAGCACGGAATTGAAAAACCATATGGATTATATAAAAGAAGTCAACGAGGAACCGCAAAACAACAACTGGAGTCCCCAGTGTTGTGTCCAATCTAAGGCACTTCTTCTGAACATTAAAAACAAGGATATAAAAGAACAACGGATCCAGTGAGAGCGCAATTACACAAAAAGTTAGATATACATCATTCAACCTTCGGATCTCCTGCGGAAGAAGTCGACTCCTCTTGGAACCCAAAACTCCATGGTAAGAGGTCATTGTTTCTCCAACTCTCTTAATATAATCCCTACAGGTGTCTAACATATTCATACCTAACGATTTTCCATAAAATGGTGATGAAAGGGATAACTTGTACAAATCTTTACATTTTCCAATTTGATCCGATCCATTTGTTCGTAGAGCTATTTACTCGTTCTCCAACATTTCTGGAACACTTCTAACAGAGGGACAGATAGTCAATTTTGAAAGAACTTATTGTCAACCTCTTTCAGATATGAATCTTTCTGATTCAGAATATCAATATCCTCTTCAAACCCACGTCCCAAAACTCTAGCTATATTATGAAACTATTCTTTTTTAGCTACAAACGATAGAATAGTTATACTAAATTCATCTGACCGCCATTACCAGAAATCTTAATCTAGTAGTTATCTGCAGGGAGAAAGAAGACAGTTTGTGGATAAAAAGCTCAAACCATAGAGAGAGAGGGAGAGAAGACGAAGACTTCAAGTCAACTGCACCGGCCTTGCAAGTCGATAAATGTAATTAGTGCAGGATCCTTCAATACTGAGCTCCTGTGGACCAAGGCTTCTCCTCTTGGTTCTTTGTAAACCGCTCTCCTCGATTACCAATCGATAATCGACCTCGACTGAATGCACGGGTGGAAGGACGAAGGCGACTTGAGAATGTAAGAATTAACACACAAACCAAGATTAAAACTTGAACAACAACCTAATAAGAACTAACCAGAATTTGTGTGTGAGTGAACCAAGAAGAAAACATACCTGCAGAAGTTCCCGAACTAGAAGCCATAGAGCTAAGCTTTCAGTGAACCTTCTTCTCTCTTGCAGAAAATCAAGAACTCAACTTACAATAGGTTTAAGTCTCAATATGAGCGTGTATCCTGTGAGAGAAGAAGCCACTATATATATATATATTCTTTTCCATACCAGAAAAGAATTCCCTATTAAAATCCTTATAGAAAACAAATACTTGCTTTACTTGTTCCATAAGAACTGATCCTAATGCTATGCAAAACCTTTTTTCATTAAGGACTAGCAATCCTCTTATCAATAATACTTTTCTACCAAACTAAATACCCATAGCCGGTCCCTAAAACTTCTCTATCTCATGCTCATTCTAACAAAGAATTCAGAAAGGGATGTAAAAGCCGGTCCCTAAAACTTCTCTATCTCATACTCATTCTAACAAAGAATTCAGAAAGGGATGTAAAAGCCGGTCCCTAAAACTTCTCTATCTCATGCTCATTCTAACAAAGAATTCAGAAAGGGATGTAAAAGGTGAAAGGGAAGATTCTTATTTACAGAACCACGAAATCGAGAGGCTCAGATGCGGCGTCATCCAATATCTGCTAGATGCTAAGCAAGTCCGATATCTGACCGACCAAGGGTAAAAAAAATTTCAGTAAAACGAAGGGAAAATGTAATCCTTTCTCTCATATTCCATAAAATGAGAAGAAAAAAGAAAAAAGAATCGGACATTGCCATATGCAACACACATTTTACAGAAGTTGGTACACTCAACAAAATGTG